AGCCATGTGAGTAATTCAACAATAATGATCACAAATTAATGTCATACTTTTAAATCAAAAGGGGCAATTCCCTTGAATGTATTTGTGTCCTTAAGAAGTGTGAACACTTCTAATTTCTAAGTCATTTACTACTCATTTACTTGTTCGCGCCATACTGACCCCCTAAGCTAAACTCAAAGTTGTACCGGTTTGCCCACTAGTTGAACTACAGATCTTCATTTCTAGGGCAAGTTCTGAGCAACTTGATATAAACTGTATAAAAAGCACATGAAACAAAACATCTTTTCCTCTAATATTGCTGATATACAGAAAACACCCAGAACTGGGATCTCCCTTTTTCACAGACCTGTTCTCATGGGTGCATGCTCTGTTATTCTGCCAGCTGCAATCCCCACCTGGAGCTCAGGTGCCTTTGGGCTCCAATTAATTCTCCACAGGGAAAATAAATCCCCCACAAAACAAATGCAAAATGCACAAGAAAAGGAAAGAAACATTTCAGAAGCTGGAAATACAGAATATCTTATAAACTCATTTCCTTTAATGAACAAGCAAAATCTGAAAGTAGGCTGATATCTAGCTAAAGCTGTTTTCAAACCTTTGGTTCTCTGTCTGTTCATTTAGGGGTTTCCCCATGGCAAGCCTCGTGGCTAAGCAGAGCAGCTAATAAAAGAGAAAGTCATTCTTTATTTTGAGAGACTTGGAGGCAGGTTGTGCTATGATGAGCAATTTCCCACCTTGAATCATTTCAGACTGTTTCAACAGCAGAGTGGCTTTTAATGTATTATTATTCAGGAATCACCTGCTATCCCTGCCAGGCATCCAAGCAATTTAAACCTTGCCAAGGTGCACAAACAATTTTTTGCTCGAGTCCCTTCCTCACCTTATTGCCTTCCACTTGGTTGCCTGTTTGTGCTCCTGGAAACTAACTTTTCCCTACTACAAGATGAAAAGGGCAAAAGAGGGGAAAAGTTTGATGCACACAGAACTGCAAAGCTTTATAACTACAGCAAAGTAAAAACAAAACCAAGCAACCAAACAAACTCCCCACACTGATCAGCTGTTAGATCCAGAGGAGTCTATACAAAAGGAAGACACAACAGCACAGCTTCTTCTTAGGGCACTTGGTTCCAACATCAGATGAAGCTACCACCACCAAGAATGGATTACTGCCTAAGCAAGATATTTAATAACCACTTAAATAGAGAGGAAGAAAACAAAGAACACAAAATAAAATAAAAAGCAAAAAGAAAACAAAAACATACAAACAACAATACAAGAAAATCCACAAAAAACTTCAGCTTATATATTAACTGTAGTTTCTTAATGTGGTTAAGAACCTTCTAAAAAGACAATGTTAAGCATACAAAGAAAAAAAAAACAGCAAAAAGCTCAGTAAGAGACTGAAGCCTCATAGGCTGAGCTACTGCTGTTACAAGTTACCTTGGAGAGGCTGGGATTTTGTCCTGTTTCCCTCCTGACCAGCCATGGAGCAAAGCAGCACCCCCAGCAGCCCCCATAGAGAAGCCCGCCCTGAGGTGCTCTCCCCTCGCAGCCTCCAGCACACCAGGGGAGCCGGAAGGTTCTAGATGTCTCGCGGGGCCCAGCAGCCCCACCCCGAGTCACAGCCGCCTCACCTGTGGGTCTGCAAGAGCAGCAGGGCAGCTGCCCAGGTGAAATCAGTTAAATGAGGCTGATTCTCCCCAGCTAAGGCAGAATCAAGGCAAAGAAACAAGTTTTGACAGACAACTGTAATGTAACAGTGGTATATCAATTGTATCTGGTAGAAGAAATGTTTTGCTTCCTAAAAATAAAGTGCTACTGGTTCTGTGCTGGGTATACAGGGAGGGAGATTTGCTGGACATGCCCAACTGAGCAGCTGTCACTGCACTTCCCTTCCCTGATCCCTGTTCATCGTTACCTCACGTTGCCCTTCCCCGAGCTGGGGACCAGCACCTGGGCATGGTGGTAAGAAAGGGAGAGGGAAAGGAAAAACATGCAATGCAATGCTACATCTGAGCTAGTGATGTGCCAGAAATGGAAAAAGGTGAGTGACCTTTTATATGAAAATTGAGCAATTCCTAAACTAACAGATAGACTCACTACCAGTGTTGTGCCAGAGAATTCACTTTGTAGCAATTCAGCCACACAAGGCACCAAAATAATGAAACACAGGCACTTGCTTTCAGTGTCACGTGGCACCGCCTTTGCTGTGTAATCCTCCTGGAGGAACTGTGATATTTGGGATCATACATTATCCCTGGTTCTATGCACACTCAGTGTGATGTGCTGTTTGAAATCATGGGCAGTTTGGTCTTGGTTGTTTTCACAAAGATGTGCAGTATTTTTCCACTCTGCCCTGCCAGACCTTAAAAAGGGTCAAATCTGCAGGTGGTGCACATAAGCAGAGCTCCACCAGGGCTCTGAGCCTGTGCTCATTTACAGCACATGGAAATTATACTTCTCACTTGATCTGTGAATAACTATGTGTATATACATACATATATATGTATGAGTGTATGGTGAATATATATTGTATAGAAAGTGAATGCTTTGAATTGTCAAAATGAAGTTATAAATATAAAACAGGAGACAGAGTATGGAAATCATACATTCTGCATTTACTTTGAAAACTGAAATTTATGGGGAAAGAAACATTGTTTATGCTCAAGAAGAACATGGTGATTTGCTTAAATAATCTAAAACCAAACCACTCTCACATGAAAGATTAAACAGCTTCCTGTCATGGTTGACAGGCTCAATCTCTGACTTGCTAACTTTCAAATAAACAAATAATTACTAGGCACTGACAGACCCATTGTGGATTGCTACGTTTATGCTATAGACCCTGGTGCAGCAAAGCACTTAAGAAGGTGGTTAGCCTTAAACAACTGAAGAGTCCCAGGTAGTTTGGTGAGCTCACTCACCTGCTTGAAATTAGTCACATATTTATCTCGAAAGCTGCATTTAAATCCATCATTAATCAGCAAAACGCTTCAGCCTGTGCCTAAAGCAGCTCTTGCTATAGGGCTTGATGCTTAAACAGTTTTCTGAGGGAGAGCTGTATGGTCTGATTCTGCAAGATCCTGATAATCCTGGCTGTGATTCTGCAAAGCATTTAAACATGTGAGGCGTATTCAGGAGAACGCAGCATGGCTGGAGAGGTGAAACCCACGCGTACACACTGAAAGAGAAAGTAAAAAGATCTCAAGTTGGTGTCAGCTGATTATATATTATTCATTTTTAATTAGTCTGAAGCAAATAGTGCAACTTGTACCAGAATGCAAAATCGCACTGTCTTCACCAAGCCGCAGCCTGACAGCAGAGACAAATGAACCCTGCAGGGTTTCGCCTGCTCCAGCGTCGCCGCCGCGGGCACGGCACCGGGCTGAGTGCGCTACGCCGGCCTCGTGTCACAGTTTGACTGCATTTTCTTCCCTGCCATTTAAACTGTAAAAAGTACAGATTTGGCTGACTTTATCATCTCATAAAAATACCTGTTGAGTAATTATGCAAATCAGATTAGGAGGCAATCAACGGAAGGCTTTTATTTATCCAAAAGCATGACCCATATCATCTGCTGACTTTCTTGGCACGTGACTGCGTTTTTATGTCTTCTCAAAGACTATTTTTCATCTCTAATGTAGGTAGTGATTTTGCTGCACCCAGATCAAAAGCCTTTTCCAAACAGCAGTTTTCTAATAAAATGAAGAAATCCCATGACAAAGGGAAATTGCCACCTACCTGTAGTGATACATTTGAGAAGATAATAAATTATCCCATTTCTGAAAGCTAGTGATGGTTCATTAGCAACAATGGGGGGGTAGGGGGAAAAAACAGTTATCTCGAGTATTTAAACTACTGTTTGGGAAGGAAACAATGTGTTTTGGCTTTTTTTTTTTTTTTTTTTGTAACATGAAATAGCACAGGTAATATTTGCAGACCAAGACATTAGCTTTATGCGTTGCTCTCTCTGTCCCTTGATTGCGTTGCACAGAAAAAAATAAATGGCATTTTTTAACAATTTCTACCAAGACTATAGGCATGACCATTGAAATGTTTCCCTTTATAAAATCAATGGAAAAAAAGCAGAGCTGTGCTTATAGTCATGAACTTAGCCTTGTCATTCAAGACGTGACCTCGACAGAATGCTCTGCACCCATTATGCAGAAATTCCTTGAAATGCTAAAGAAAGAGACGGCACCAGAGGGCTGAGTCCCCCTAATGCTGTCACCTCCTCTCTGTTCAAGTTTGCCCTCCTGCCAGCTCCTGCAAGTCATTGGTTCCTCCCCATTTTGTCTACAAGAGACTCAAATAAAAGCTGACCACATTATTTTCTTAAAAGCTTCAGCCATAACCTGAAACCTCTGATTTACCAAAGCATTTATATATATAATATATATTATATATTATATATATAATACAGAAGGTTAAATAAAAAGAGCCACACAGCGCAGAATACATGCAAAACCACAATTCAATAATCCTGTGCTTTAACTTAGAAACTGTGTGGAAATTTAAATCCTTGTTACATGGATTTTTTTTTCTATTTATTGGATTTCAGTAAAAAATAAGGCTTAAAACAATGGTCACTGCTTTGCTGTGAAATTGCCACCTTGCCACCTATAAAACAGGGTTCTGAGGGAAGGTCTGAGTATGGTGTACTTTGCTAGCAAGAAATGAGTAATTTCTTTTCACTCTTTAAAAAAAAAAGGAATGAATGAATGAATGTTGAAATCCACAAAAGAAAAAAGATTGTATGGCCCTCAGTCCCAGTAACTGGTCTTCTTTGGCACTTGAGAACGATCACAAGTAGTTTGCCTTTTTATTCATATAGAACAAAATTTACAAAGTCATTCATACATTTTTGTTCGCTTTTTTGTTTTTTTACTGACTTCGAAAATTGGGAATATTCAAAATACACTTTTACCCCACTTCATTCTTTCATTATTTACAGATATATACAAGAAAAAGGTAAGAGTCTCTTTTTTTATTTTTTTTTCTTTTTCTGTTTTAAATGTGGTATTAAAAAGCTCTGCTGGTTGTGGGTCTGTCTGTGGTGGCTATATGGAGGTCCCGTGCGAGGGCTCCAGCGCCTCGGGGATGACGCCCCCCGGCACGGCCTGGAACGACATGGGGATGGGCGTTTTCACAGGGCTCTGCCGGAAGAGGCCCCCGTTGGGCGACCGGTGTTTGCACTGGATGGAGGGGGCCGAGCTGCTGGGGGGCAGCGGGAGGTTGCTGCCCGCCGCGGCCGACAGTGTCCTGCTGGCGCCGTGCGCCGTCTGTTCTGGTAAAAAGGTGCTCACGGAAAGTTGCGTGTTCTGGTACTCGCGCACCGGCTCCAGGGTCTGGGCGGGCGGCATGCCGCCGATCTCCAGGGCCGAGATCTCGATGGACGCCGGCGAGATCTGCTTGTGGGCGATGTCTTCGTCGATCAAGCTGTTCATGCGCCTGTGCACCTGCTCCAGGTTCACTTCTTTATCCTGTTGAGGAGGAAACGGGCACAGTCAGTGCAAGCAAAGCTCCCCTTCCCTTGCAGCAGCCCTAGCAGCTGGAGCATGGGTAGGTAAGAGTCTCTTTTTTTACTGAGGACCGTGGCCGGGCGCACGGTGCATCGCAGAGCTTGGACCTGCTGCCACGGATGCAGCGGGACCAGCGGCAGGGCCAGCGCTGAGTGGCCTGGCCTGCTGGCAGCCCGCGTGTGCCTTGGCTGCTGGCACCGCTCGCCCAGCGCACTGCAGCTTCCGCAGCGGGGCCGGTGCTGCGCGAGCGGCACAGCCTCCTGCGGGGCGCTCGGGAAGGCCGCCTGCCAACCTGCAGGGTAACGTCAGCCACCTGCACTTAACTGCTAGCTGCGTGTCCCAAACAAAGGCAGCACGTTCAGTCACTGCCCTGTACATCACACAGCACAGCCAGGACCTGCAGCTGCAGTTACTTGATGCAAGCAGAGTATATAGGAGACCAGCAATAAAGCATCCATAAAAGCCAAGCTTCCCTGGCACTGGGGGAACCCTCCAGTTTGACAGAAAGCTGCAATTGCACCAGATTGCCAGGGCAGCCCTAGGCTAGGAAATGGGGGCAGCCTGAAACTTGCAGGGCATCCTACACATGCCTAGATATTGCTTAAAGCCAGGATCAGGAGCCTCAAATGTTCTGCCTCACACCAGAGAGGAGGCTCTGGGAGTGGAGCTGTCTCAGGCCGCCCACCCCTCACCATCTCTTCCCACACTTCAGGTGGAGCACGGAGAAGCGCAGCAACACCCCAGCGTGACCCACTGCCTCCAGCTGCCCTCGGGAGCTGGCAGCCAAGCTGACTCCCAAGCCCTCTGTTCCCAGCCATGTCGAGCACAGATCTGAGTTTAACCTTGTGACTTAAAGGCACCTCTGCATTTTTAAGGAACCATGGGATTTGTGGATCTCTGCAAGAATTTGGAAGTGGGTAACAGGGTTACATAGGGTCCTTAGCTTAGGTTAAATAACCACTGATCTTGGCTAGAAAGTAGCTGCCCAGTAACTGCAGGAAGCAGATCCTTTGCACGTCCTAGTTCATTTACATCAAAAATCCACCAACTTCCAGTGCAGCTCTCAGGAACTCTGGTGATAATACCTTCCTCACCAAGAACACTGACCCATGCTATTTTTTTGAATATTGCTTTTTCAGTCAAATCCTCTAATCCAATAATTTTGAATTAGAAGGAATCAAAGGACAATAAATGAAAAATAGGCTTCTGGTGGCAGAAAGAGGCCACACAGTGCTTGATCAGATAACTACTGCAGCTACATTAGTTTACAGCCCTTTTAAAAACAGCCATACCTGAGTTATCAGCCCCTTCATTCAGTAAGTTTGACAATGCACTAAGCTGAAGATAAGACAGAGGCTCTTTCATAAACTCTGCAGTTAGTAAATTAAGGATTTGTGTTATAAAGGCCAGAGGATTACATGGATTTAATTCATGGATTTTATTTGTTTCTAGTCCGTGAAATAAAACTGTGGACTGTGGGGCAAGCATGGGAAGTGTTCTGACATTCTTCCCAGGCGGGAATAGCAGCTCTACTTACACAGGCAGGTTCACGTTGCCTAACAGCCTGGACACCTGCAGCTGTTTTCTGGCCACCAATAAAAGCTCTCCTACAGTATTTTGCTCATCTCCAACCTTGTGCTATGGAAGTGTGTGCTGACATCCTGTCTAAGGAGGCTAACTCCATGGAGTTAGCCCATAATATGATGCTTCTCGAGGTGTCCGGGACTCCTCTCCCTTTTATGTGCAAATCAGAGGTGCTGCCAGCTTTTACTTAAACACCCAAATTTACATGCTAGTTTTCTAGCATCCATACTCTTGCTAAGCCGTATGATGCAAAAAGGAAAATATAGAAAACTCAGGTTAAAAATAAGCAAATACTGGGAGAACAGATTTCCCCGAATGAGGCTTCGGAGAACTGTTCATGACTCATTCGTGTTTTCCTGAGCTCTGCTAGCTTTTACCAAATACTGATACCTCCATCAGATCCCTTCAAGTGAAAACACACATCAACATTTTATTTGTTTGTATTTTTTGTCTGCAAACACATCCTCAGTGCATTCCACGCTGCTTTGCTACAGGAACAAAAATAAAATGACTGGGATAACCAGCCAGCCCAGTGGGACTGGGGACAGTTTCTGTACTTGCAGCCTGCAGTTATTAATTGTTTGCAGAAGAAAAATGCATCTGTGAATGAAATGTACCCTTCATTTGCAGCATCTGTACTCAAAGCATCATAAAATTCAAAGGATGAATTCATCCTTGTTATATGTTTACCTTAGTTCTTTTAATATATAAACATAAATAAATTGTAAATTAGAGAGCACTTACGACTAAGGAGAGGAATAAATGTTTGTGATTTATTTTTTAGGTGGAGGGGTGGGAATTTCATTTGCATACCTTTAACTGAAAAAATCTGCATTATGGACAACTTTCTGGCCTTATTAAGATCAGAGACAATTTTTACTGGCTTCCAAGACATTCACATTATTTCCTTCTTCCTGATATTAAAACACATGTTGGTAAAGGTTAAGGAAAACAACTCTACCTCAGAGGAATAACAAAAACACACTTTTAAAGGTTCCTCCCTTTTTCTTTGTCTTATTAAATGAAGAAGAACTAAAAACCAAAATGTCAAGCTTTGTACAAAATTGTCTTCACGTTAAATTAATCTTTTATTTCAAATGCTTTTTAAAAAGCTAAGATAAAAATCAGAAACATTGGAAAATACTAGTTTTTGCTTACTTACTAGAAGACTACCTTGCAACATAAAATTTCTAGGGTACAGACTTCGTGATAGCCTTCTTAACATCTAAGAATTTTCTTCTAGTTCTATAGTTCTCATTAAACATGAGCCATTTGCTATACTTTTTGTGCATTTGGTAGGGTCTTAGGGTTTTTTTTTTTTTCTCCAGAGGATTAATTGTGAAATGGTTATCTTGCATTTCAAGCTTTCTGACACTGCAACTGCTGCTTAATTCTCTATTTCTGTATTCATTCCTCTCTGGCAAGAAATAATAATTCAATGTGATAAATTAATACAGACTATTATTTAAAAAAAAGAAATAATTTTGGTAGGGAACAAATAACTTTAAATCCTAAATGAGGAATTGCTGACAAGCACCAACAGCAGTGCTGGATAGGGAGAGGGCCCAGAAAGGCTCCGCGTGCGGCCAAGGGACGGTTGGGTCTGGGAAGGGCTGAGGCCCTTCCTGCAGGTTCCTGGCTCTTGTGCCATGCTGCTCTCCTCCAAAGACAAATGAAATGGCTCTAAACTCAATACTCCGGTCTCTGTGACAGCAGAGCTATCAAAGGTTTTCTCTTTCTTATACTTGACATGCAAAATTTAGTTAATGCTGTAATATGTCACATCCCCAATGTCTTATGCCAATTTAACTCCAGTTTTCACACATTGCTACACTGGATACATGTATATGCCTGTGCTGCCAGAAAGAGATAAAATATCTTCCTCTAACGGCCTTCATAACTTTATTTTCAATATTAATGTTATACTCTAAATAGATCAGTTGAAGAAACTAATCAGTGAAGGGAAAGAAAAATATCACATGCAAGGAAAATGAATTATAAACACAAGCTTATCCGCCTCAAGCCTAAGGAAAACAGCTAAGCAAATATTGCTTCTGGTCAGGAAATTATCTCAATCATAAATACCAATCTAAATGTCATTCTTCCCCAGTGAATCTGAGTCCCAAAGGGCAAATGAAAGGCACGTTTCTGACTCATCCCGGGCACTTGGCCAGGACAGCCCGGCTCAGCGGCCTCTGGCCGTCAGCGGCAGCGCTCAGTCCCGGGCATTTCCCAGGATCGGGATTGCCGCCTTTCTGGTCTAGTAGCCACGACTCCTTTCTGGGCCTCCTAGGTGAAGCTTTCTTCTGTGGGGAGAAATCAGACTCAGATGGAAATGCAAGTAGAATGACTTAAAGAGCACTCAGTATTTTTTCTTGGTTTACTTTCTGTGACTTTGGACAATGGACTCCACGAAAAACACACTGGCCATCACACTGGAAGAATCCGAAACTACCTGGGCAGTTCGGAGCTGGTTATCATTGTCAAATGTGAGAAATATCCCCGAGTGCTGGAGAGGAGCTGCTGGCCAGACACTGCCCCTGTCGCGGCACCCCCAGGTGGTACAAATGTGCCTGGGGGGTTCAAAGGGAAGCTCTGAGGTAAAGACCTCTGCAAAGAAACTAAGGTGGCCTCTTCTTGTTCACCATTTTTCTCATCACAAAGATCAAGAGAAACCACTTCAAAAGATGAAAACAGAAACTAATGAAGCAGTTTTAGTAAATCCAGAGAAGGAGACAACTCCCTCTGCAAAGCAAGCGTCAGATACCTGGAGAAAGTCTGTTGCTGACACTGACAAAAACTGTCAACTGACAAAAATTGCATCTGCATCCAACACATGCAAAAAGCCACACGAAAGGAGAAAAAGACTAACAGCCCTGACACTAAATACCAAGCACTCAAAATTCAGAAATGCAGCCAAAATCAGCAGACAGGCACGGACAGTGAGGGACTATCGTGAATGTGCTGATATCTCCCAGACAGAGGCAGATAACTGTGCCAAGGATTAAAAGCCTGTTAATATAGTTCTTAATAAGCCTCAAGTGATATGCAAACAAAAAAAAAAAACTTGAGGTCTTTTAAAGTCTTAATCATCAGTCATGGAGCATTTCTGTATTTTTTCCTTTGTTTGTTACTGCTTTGGGTTGACAGTACGAAGGGTTATCTCTCAGAGAACGGAACAAAAACAAGAGAAATGTTGATGCTACATTTTCATTCCCTGAAAGAACTATCCAAGAGAGTAACTACAGGCAATTTTATGATGAGGTGTTCAAAATCTGCTCCAAGCCCTAGGCTCAGGCAGACATTCCCCCTCCTGACCTTGACCAGGCCGCAGGCCAGACCCTCCGTGCCTCAGCACCACGTGCACGTACTGACAC